ATCAGCGCGAAAAAGCCTAGGACGCTCCCAGAAAAGATTCCAATTATTAACAAAGAGCAGTTTCTGTTCTTTACACCATGACAATAACCATTCATTTAAAGCAAAAAGTCTACTGAACTTTTCGTGTCCTTATCAATACGTGGGAAGCGGTCCTGACACGATGATCGTCGTCGCCTGGCGATGTGTGGCGCACCGTCTCGATCAGGTTCCTGAAGTCCCTCTTCAGTGTCTCCATCTGCCGCAGCTTGGTGTCAGGTGGTGGGAGAGTTAACAGTGCGCTGTATACTTACCTCGGACTTGTGAGCATCAGCCTGGGATGTTTCCAGCTCGAGCTGCATTCGGTGCGTGCTCTCACCTGCACTCAAAGGTAGACACACATCCGCCATTAAAGCAAGTAACAGTGAATAGTGTATTAGTAATGTAAGCGAGATTAGTAACCACGCTGGCGATGCTAGCGGGCTATATGCTAATAGCGGACTCGGGAAGTCAAAAATAGAACTAGTGATAACAAGGCGCTCTGATTGTTTTTGTTGTAGAATACGATAGAGGATATATTCACACGTTATAGAAACGAAAATGATGGTGTATAAAAATTAGACGACAAAGAATTAACTTGACGGATCTCAAACTCAAAACACACGGCAGCAACAAACAGGAAGTGATGTTCACTGACGTTCACGTTCACTGACGTGTCCAAACAGTGTAGTAATGTGGGACATAATAGGAATAAAGCATTCAGAAAAATCAAAAAGACTAATTTATTTGAAGATTTTATTAAATATAAGAAAGCGCAAGCTGAAGTAAGAAGAATAGTCCGAGCAGCTAAAAAGAAGAACTGGAGAGATTGGTGTAATTCAATAGGAGAAGATATTGACATAAGTGAAGTATGGGGATCAATTAGGAAAATGGGAGGAATTTATAGAAATTAAACTCTTCCAGTTTTAAAAACTGATGAAGGAAGAATAGCTGTGTCAGATAATGAAAAAGCTGAAATGCTGGCTAAAGTATTTGTTAAAGTCCATAGTGATGATAATGTATCAGAGGATATTAAAAAGTGTAGAATCCAGAACAAGAATCAGCACCCAGATGTGATGATGAAAAGAAGTCCTTCTGGAGACACTTTAGACGCAGAATTTACTATGTATGAATTAAAGATGGCTCTAGGGGGAGTTAAACATACATCTCCTGGAAGAGATGATATATGTTATGTAATGATTCAACATTTATCAGATAGATCCTTAAAAATAATTTTAAATCTTTTTAACAAGGTATGGAATGCAGGAAAGATTCCTTCTTCGTGGAAACATGGAATAATAGTACCAGTAGGCAAACCTGGAAAGGACAAATCCAATCCAATTAATTATAGGCCAATTGCATTAACTTCTAATTTATGTAAACTGATGGAAAAAAATGATCATGCATAGACTAAATTATATATTGGAAATAGAAGGTCTTATATCGCAAATACAGGTTAGGGTAGGAGTAGAGTATTCTGAGGCATACACAATAAACAATGGAACTCCTCAAGGAAGTGTATGCAGCCCAATATTTTTTAATATGATTAATTAAATTTTTAGTAATTTTAAAGGTGATATTGGAAGGGCATTATTTGCTGATGACGGGGCAACATGGAAAAGAGGATAAAGAGAGTAATCCAGTAAAGGGTGTGATTGAAGAATGCTGGGAGCATGGAAACAAAAATATTAAAAGCTTTGGATGGATTGCTAAAAGGGAATCACAAGTTGTTGGTATTGCAGACTGTGATGTTGGCCCTACTGTGATATTATCCAGTATACCACCATGGATTTTTCCTATGCCAATAGTCGATTTTCAAATACAAATAAAAATTAAGAATGAGAAAGAAACCCCTAAGAACATTAGTGCACAGCAGTATTTAGATCAGACTTATCCATCGTGGTTACATATCTATACTGATGGTTCTAAAGACCCTATCCCTGGCAGAATAGCTGCTGCAGTATTTATGCCAATGTTTCAAACTAGTATTAAGAAAAGAATAACTGATCATGTATGCGTGTATACAGCAGAATTAATTGCCATGGTGGTAGCACTCCAGTGGGTAGAGGATGTAAAACCAAGATTAGTAGTAATATGTTCTGACTCTTATGCAGCAATATTGAGCCTTGCAAGTGGAGTAAAATCATCAAGGCAAGACATTATATATGAGATTCTTGCAAGTTTGTTAAGAATAAGT